AAGCCTTGTTTAGATCACGGAAATCGATGCACATCCTCCACTTTCCTCCTGGTTTGTACACCATTACCGTGTTAGATAACCACTCAGGGAACTGAATCTTCTTAATGTGGCCGGCGTTCATCAGCTTGTCGACCTCCTGCTCGATGATTTTGTCCATTTTCGCACCATGATGTCTCCTCTTTTGCTTTACCGGCCTCACACTGAGATCAATATTAAGTTTGTGCTCGATCACCCTGGCTTCGATCCCCGTTAGTTCATCCGTTGTATACGCGAAAACGTCTGTAAATTCCCTTATTAAATTGATCAGCTTCGACCTGATTGGCTCTCCCAAATCTTTTCCAATCCTGAATTTTCGGTCGTCGCACCCCTGCACCATTTGAATTTCCTCAATCTCTTCTCCGGGCTGTATGTCTATCTTCTCCTTTCCCTTGTCTTGTCCTCCTCTTTCCACTTTCGCTCGTGACCCTCCTGGTCGATCAGGCCTCACTTCCTTGCCTTTCAACTGCCTTTCTGCCATCTGTTTGTTGTTACTGACTGTGGTTTGATAGCAACTCCTCGACGTGAGCTGGTCCCTCGCAATCTCGCCTACATTTTCCCCCACAGGATATTTGATCGTCATGTGGTATGTAGACACGACCGCTTGGAACGCATTTAAACCTGTCCGCCCTAAAATGATATTGTAAGACGATTCTGCTCCAACCACTACAAACCGGATCATTCTTACTTTCCTCGAGTCGCCCGACCCCAATGCTACGGTCAGGATCACTTCGCCCATTGGCATTACCTCTCCACTGTTAAACCCGTATAAAGCTGTCGCCACCGGTTTCAATTCTAGATTCAGGTGTTTGTTGATCTGCGCAAAACAATCGTAGAACATCACGTCGACTGAGCTCCCCGTGTCGATGAACACTCTTTTCACATCAAAACCTGCCACTTCGGCTGTGATGACCAGTGCGTCATTGTGGGTTAACAAGATTCCCTCTGCATCTTCTGCTCGAAAGCTAATCACAGGCGTTCGACCAGTTATCCCGACCTCCTCTCTTTTACGCTTCACCGCCCGCACATGTCCCTTTCGTGAATTATTCGAATCCCCATCCGTTGGCCCTCCTGAGATCATGTAAATCGTGCCCCTCTTTGCAGGCACCTCCTCCCTCAGCTCCTCTTGACCATCGTTTTGTCGTCTCCTTCTTTCTTTCCTAGCATCGTCTTCTCCATCGTCGTCCTTATCACTCCTCGCCATAGAATCTTCCCTGCACCTTCTCCTTTCTTTACCTCG